TACGGAAAATCAAAGAGAAACATCACACATATTTTCAGGGTTACTAAAGAACAAAACAGTGTACTTTAAATATAATTTTAAAACCCCTTGTCATAAAAACAGACTCTACTTCTCAGAGATTAAAAGCAATATCCAAGAAAAAATGACACAGAACGACAAAAAGTAAGACAATCGATGAAGTTCCTGAACTTTCAGGTTTAAACTAAATTGTTCATTAGCATCTTGGACAAAAAAGCAAAACAAGAACAAGTGAAAAGATGAGTTTGATTCAACCTTCACAATGACACCAAATGCCAGATGACAGGGAAGCCATGTCTCCATATTTCTGAGGGAAGTAACAATTAATACTATATAGCTTTGATAATTATAATTAACAATCAGAAAATAAATGTGAATAACTTTAATTTTAAAAGAATAGTAAAACACAAAAAGGAAAAAGGGAATCTAGAAGGAACTTTGTTAATTTTCCCATTGTCCTAACAAAAAGTCAAAAGATTCTATTTAAAATTAAATTCAGTCATTTCAAAAAACAGAATTCAAACTTCGGAGGTTTTTTTTTTTATTAACTGTTAAGTAATATCATTTTGGTAAAAGGAAATTAATATTAAATTAATCAATTCCTTCAGCTTAAATTCAATTCCTTTTTATTCCACTGGAAGCAAACTAAAAAAATACTCTCTATAAGAGATGCAAAGTATAAATATAATCTTATTTTAATAAAACCATTTCTAATTATTTGTATGTATGTACACAGAGATACTATAAGTAATGTTCACCAAATGTGAACCAAAGGTAAGAAGCAAGGAGATGATGGGGCTCTGCATGCTTTAATGGTTTTAAAATGAGCAATGCATCATCTTTTCAAATAATCAAGCTATTTTTCTCCTTCATTAATTCCATAATTTTTCCCAAATCTCTGTATATCATTTTGTTCCCATTTCCCAGATAAATGAGATACCCAAAATTGAAGTAACTTGACAGAAAAAAAGAGTGACCCAATTCAAGACAATATTTTAATAAATACTGTGATACACCTACTAGCTGGTATCATTATCAAGTTTATTGATGTGGCTCAATAAAAACTTTTAGTATAATTATATATGCCTGGAAATAGGATGAATGCAACAGGAACTAAGAAATTTCAAGGCTTATTCAACATAACAGTAATGCAGCCAACCAAGTCTTACAGAAAGTGGCCAGGCACCAAGTGCATGTTAGAATTAATGACCTTTGAGGGTACTTCCATTTCTGAAAATGTCTGACTTTGTGATGTGAAATCATACAATGTCATGAATCTCTCTTATGCTAAAAAAAAAAAAAAAAAAAAAAGCTTTAAATCTTTTTGACAAATATGTCCTTTCTTCACACCCATAGCAACTCTTGAAATAGGCAGGACAGGTGTTATTAGTTCCTCTTTGCAGATGAGAAAGTTAAAATTCACAAAGGAGAGGGCACTGGGTTCCCAGATCAAACAGACAGACAGTTGCAGAGCTAAGGCCTGTCTCTTTTTGAGACCACTTTTATTGTCCAGGCAACTGCTCTACATACACTTACAGCAGCCAATGCTAACAATCCATTTCATTTACGTTAATTGCAGCTTTTGGAGCACCTATGGCTACTTAGTTCAAAATGTTAGAAAAGCTGGAATGCTGCTATTACAATCCTTCTATCCTGTGCGAAGAAAGATCCTTGGAACTTGGAAATGAAATTTAAAGCAACCACAAGCTATACAACCATCAACATGAAATAAACCCTTTTTGTGTGGCATGAAATCGCTCACAGAAAGGCTCGCTCTTGTTTTCTTGGTTTCCAAATGCATGAAGTAAAAGTCACCCCACTGCTAATGCTGGGTGGTTAGGCAGCTGTTCATCAGAGGCAGTTGCAGAGCAAAGTCTTAATGTGAACTCTGATACGCTGGACTAATGTATATGTGGCATGGGTATGTTCTGAACACCTGCTCTAAGCCGGCTGCTAAGAAGTGCTGGGTAAACATACTGAAATGGCTGGGGGTAAGAATAACGAAGCAAAGCAAGGAGCTAGGTCCACAACAAACCACCATATTCACAGAGAGGACAACTGTAGAAATACACTGAAGCATGTATCCACCAGATTTTATGCTGGTATTTGTAAGCAGGAAATAATGGTCAACTGGAAACTTTTTAGAATTTATTTGTTTTCTAAAGGGTGATGATAAAGGGACAAATCCAAGCGGAGCTGAGCAAAGGAAGTAACTTAAAAATGAAGTAAAGAAAAACTTAATGCAAAGTAATGCAAAGGTTTTTTTTTTTTTGGAAAGGGCAGATGAAGACTGCTCCTGAAAGTAAAACTCTCAGTATGGACACAATAGAAATTTTGTGAAACCCAAGTAGTCTATTTAAATTTTAGAACCTAAGCAGAAAGGCACAGCATGATATTCCGTGGCTCTTGGCAGGATTTTGTCACAACTAGCAAACTGGAAATGTACAAAACAGTTTTCAAAGCCATATTCAAATCCCTTTTCAATTATGTATACTATGGCAATATAGCTTCCACTGACATTTTTAAAACTTCGTCTTAATACTGACTTTGTCAAAGTATTTGAAATATAAAGATGAATTTTCAAACTCCGCAATTTTTTCCCTGAATCAGACTTTGTTAAAACTGACAGCATCTGATTCAAGCAGACTTAAAAGCAAGTATCAATGTATCTTCTGTTCAAAGGCATCTATGACAGATAAAATGTTTGAAAAATTATTTTTAAAAACACAGCAGTGAGGCTGGGCACAGTGGCTCAAGCCTGTCATCCCAGCCCACTGGGAGGCCAAGGTGAGAAGATCACTTGAGGTTAGGGGTTTAAGAGCAGCCTGGCCAACATGGTGAAACCTCGTCTTTAACAAAAATACAAAAAATTAGCTGAGCATCATGGCATGTACCTGTAATCCAGCTACTTGGAAGGCTGAGGCAGGAAAATCATTTGAACCTCGAAGGTGGAGGTTGCAGTGAGCCAAGATTGTGCCACTGCACTCCAAACTGGGTGACACAGAGCAAGACTCTGTCTCAATGGGACAAACACATTAAATGAAATACTCACTGCTCCTTTCTCCTTAAAGATTTTGAACTCATGAATTATGAGCTATAAGGCGCAATCGTTCAGAATGAATCACATATATTACAGTCGATCATAATATTTTCAGGGTTTATCCTCAGAGTAACTAGTAACACAATGATTCTTTTTGCTATCATCTTCAGTTGTCATAATAAAAATTAGTTACAGAATAATGACACTGCCAAAATTTATAAACTTACAAAGCTAACATTATAACACTAATCTTGTCAAGCATAAAAACTTAATGACAATTGAACAAAAACATAAAGAAATACTATCTCAACATCATTTATAAAGGAAAGGGATAAATACATTTTGCATGATAAGAACATTTCCATGTTTATATAAAGAGGCAAGAAAATTTAAATTTACTAACTTTGCCACTCTAGTGTTAAGGAATACATAAAATGTTTAACTTTACTGTATAAATGGAATTATCAGTGGTGTGCTGGAGCTAGCTCATCCCCAGCTCATAAGAGCCAATTTTTGAATTTTAAGGAATCCTGCAAGCCAGTTCGTAAGCATCTAAACCAGCCATAGTGGGAATAATTACACCACAGGAATTGACAAACACTATAATCAGGCCTCTCCTCTCCCCTCCTCCTCCCAGAGAATCACTTTACCAACACACCAGTGATCCACATACAAATAAGTCCACAGTATAGTTAATCCTCACAGAGTGAATGCACCCACACAGGCAACACTGGGGTCATGAAAAAGAACATTACTGACACCTGCAGAAGTCTCCCTTGAACTGTATCTTAATCAATATCCCTCCACAGGTCAAAACACTTTACAAATACCAGAAAGGAACAAATTTACCAATGAGGATGGAAGAAGACAATTTTAAGCAAAAGATACAACCTTGAAAATCACTTGTAACTGTGAAGGTAGGCTGGCAGAAAAAAGACATGGCAAGATGTGCATTGATTTGGAAGCAGCAAGAGTAACATGGGAAGGAAAATACAAAATTGTATTGCTCAGCAGCTACAAGAGGAATTATGAGGCACATGTCTCTGTGTAAGATGTGTTCAGTGTAAAACGCTATTTATAAAATAGAGCTGGTTTACCATATTGTAATTCTCTTAGTGTCACGTATTATTATTTTTTTTTGTATTTTTTTAAAAATTTTATTGCATTTTAGGTTTTGAGGTACATGTGAAGAACATACAAGATTGCTGCATAGGCACACACGTGGCAGTGTGATTTGCTGCCTTCCTCCCCATCACCAACATCTAGCACTTCTCACCATGCTATCTCTCCCCAACTCCCCTTCCCCTGCTGTCCCTCCCCTATTATTTTTACATTATAACCAGTAGGAACTACAAGAAAATCTCAAGTAACTACCACAAATAAGGTAATGCCCTTACCTTATTTGATGACTGTTGAAATTCACAGCTCCCACCCACTTTAATTCATACTGTATTTGTAGGAAACCAAATATTAAAGTTTTCCATGATGATCCTACTTCTATGAGGAAAGCAGAGACTTCAGGGGCAGAGGACTGCATTTGACAGCAATCATGCACCATATGGCACTGGTATTAGAAGTATGTTTGTAGAAAACTGATGTATATTAAACAAAATCTGGCTTCTTCTTTTGTACCAGTGATCAGTTGCATCAAGCGGTTTTCCATTTTTTAATATTCATCTGAAAGCTGATTCTTAAAATACCAGCTTAAGTTCTGGAAAAGAATAATAGCTAGACTTGCAGACAAAAATGGGGAGTTGCTTCCATATAATCTTTTTAAGAAGCTAAAAAGAAAAATTACATTTTACCGATAGATATGCACATATAAGTACAGGCCTCTGTCTCATATTCAGACAAGGAAATACTCTAATGAGAATAAACTGCCCAAAAGTCATGCTCAAAACAGCAATATTTTCAATGCAATTTTAACATCTGACTAACCAACCTTTATTGTTTTTCTCTTCATATGGATATTCATTCATCCATTTGTTCTTAGAGTCACATTGATCCTGCAAGAAAAACACAAAGACAAATGATGAAAGTTATGCAAGTTGATGTTATTCCTCCCTTAAGGGGAAAAATACACCTTGATTCTACAGTTCCTTAAGCTCATGATCAGTAGAGCTGAGGCATAACTTTTCTTCAGTTACATGTTGTTGGCTTGCTCTTCAGCAGCCATGAAAGGGCAAAATGCAGTAGAGGAAAAAATACCAGCTATGACACTAGGACAAGATCCTGGGCACAAGATAATGAAGACCTAGGCAAAGATGAAAGAGGAAGGGAGGAGGGGAATAAAGAGGGATGCAACAGAGAAAGACAACTGTGGAGAAAATGGCAAAAAAAAAAAAAAAAAAAAAAAAAAAGGTTTATAAGTAAATTTACTCTATAAAAGAGAAGCTCGAAATACTCAAATTGGAATACTTGGCTTCATTTTTCTTAGCAATGAAGAGATTTAAAATAATGCTGTTTTATTGGGGAAATGGTAATATCTTTACAGTTGTTACAAAAGTGCAGAAGAATGAATACAAATAAATTTGGTGGCTCCTTGTCAGCCAATATCCAACTAACTTTAACAAAATTGATCTAAATTAATCTATATCCCTTCTTTTAAAAATTAAATATAAATTAAATACTTATCTGGTTTCTAAAAGGTCCGAAATCTCCAGGACCATCTGGATCTCACCAAATCATTACACATTATTGAATTGGGGAGTTCTGATTATAACAGACCATTTGCCCTCTTTGGATATATCTTACAAGTCTTCCTATTTATTCTCTCTCAGCATTATGTTACTTGCTTCAGAATTTCCATTTCATGAGGCAAATTTTCTTTGGCATTCAGTTGAGCCAGCTTATTAGGCACAGTTGACTTTATTTTTCATTTGGAATTACACTCAAGAGGGGACACGCCCTGGAGTTCTCAGCAGCGCCCATTCTGTGCCAATGTCTATGGGCTGTAGCACTGGGCCTGGTTTCCTGTGTATGTTTCCATACATTTGAAAAGAACTCACTCACTTATAAAGGCCTTAAAGGAAATGCAGCAGCATTCACGAGCTCCATGGGCTTAACCAGTGAAGGAAACTGGCCTTTAATTTTATTCTACTTTTAAATATATATGTCTCTCTGGCTATAACAATGTCTCAAAACACATCTCCTAATACGCACTAGAGCTTTTACCAGGCATGCTACTAAAAAGGCAATGCAATATTTTAATATTACAGTGGCAGACTAAAAACATTCTACTGAAATTCAAAGTATAATTCTTCTATTTAACATAATTAAACCATAACATGGTATCCTTTGAAATACTTTTAAAAAGTCACCTAAGACACAGTGTTCTCAAACATGTTTTGTCCTTTCTAGTCTTCAAAATATATTTAATCCAATCAGTTCCAACTTCTTAGCAGAATGTTCAAGGTACATCAAACCTGGCTCATTATTTTTCAGAGCAGTCCTGTAATTCTTTTCATTTAATGTGCCATAGGCATTTTCTCATAGGCTTAATCCAAAAATTTGTAATACTGCACTGAAGGAATCTATCATTATTTACTTGTTAACTTTTGCCTTATAATTTGTGATTTTTATTACAAATCACACATAAACGCCCTTCCATGTAAATTTGGTGTGCACCAGCGTCTCTGCTAGCCTGAATGATGCTTTTATGCAACTAGAAAGGATGGCCCCTCAGAGCAGACACAGAGAGACTCCAAATCAGAAAGAGGGCAGGGTCTGGCAAGCAGAGGCCACTGCAAACTATAACCACCACTCACCCAGGTAACCTCATCCTATACTATTGTACTTAGCTGTACCAACTTATACTCCCACCAGAAGAAGACATGTTGCGCCATTCTCACCTTTGTTTCCCAATACACACAGCAGAGAGCCCAACAAATTTTAGGAGACCAGTAAATGTTTGTTAAATGAGTAAAGTTAATGATGAGGAATGGAAGAAAAAGCAAATAAAGCAAACTTCTTCCGCATCAATTATGCAGATAATTCTTACCCAAGTAACTTAACCCTTAGTTATATAATTTGTATTTTTAGATACAATCAGTCTACAAACTAAAATAAACATTAAATTATGTGAACTATATATAACTATACATATCATATATGTTTACAGCATGTGGGGATTGACAAAATATTCCATTGTAACCACTTTTTTTTTTTTTTTTTTTGAGATGGAGTCTCACTGTGATGCCTAGGCTGCAATGCAGTGGCATTATCTTGGCTCACTGCAACCTCTTACTCCCAGGTTCGAGCGATTCCTCTGCCTCAGCCTTTCGAGTAGCTAGGACTACAGGCGCGTGCCACCATGCCTGGCTAAATTTTTGTATTTTTAGTAGAAACAGGGTTTTACCCTGTTAGCTAGGATGGTCTTGAGTTCCTGGCTTCATGATCCATCCGCCTCAGCCTCCCAAAGTACTTGGATTACAGGTGTGAGCCACCTCACCTGGCCAATGTTATTACTTTTTTTTGAAAGCAGTCTGGGCTGGGGGGGGGTTGTGGCTCATGTCTGTAATCCCAGCACTCTGGGGGGTCAAGGGAGGCAAATCGCTTGAGCCCAGGAGTTCAAGACCACCCTGGGTCAGGTGCGGTGGCTCACGCCTGTAATCCCAGCACTTTGGGAGGCCGAGGCGGGTGGATCATGAGTTCAAGAGATCAAGAGCATCCTGGCCAACACGGTGAAACCCCGTCTCTAGTAAAATAAATAAATAAATAAATTAGCTGGCTGGTGGTGTGTGCCTGTAGTCCCAGCTACTTGGGAGGCTGAGGCAGAAGCATTGCTTGAACCAGGGAGGCAGAGGTTTCAGTGAGCCAAGCTCACACCACTGCACTCCAGCCTGGTGCCTGGAGACAGAGCGAGACTTTAACTCAAAAAACGAAACAAAACAAAACAAAAAAAAGGCCTGGGCAACATGGTAAACCCAGTTTCTACTAAAAACACAAAAATTAGTCAAGCATGGTGGCGCATACCTACTGTTCCAGCTGCTCGGAGGCTGAGGTGGGAGGATAACCTGAGCTCAGGAAGTTGAGGCTGCAGTGAGCTGAGATCATATCACTACACTCCAGCCTGGATGACAGAGTGAGACCCTATCTCAAATTTTAAAAGAAAAAAATAAAGCAGTTCTGTGAGTTGAGCATATGAACTATTTTAAGATCCACTTAACAAGGATGATGAAACTGATCAGAGGTAAATTTTATAACCAAGGTAACAAGTTAGAAAATGTCAAGATTCTTATGAAACCCCTGCCTTAGTCCCAAAACTTACTGCATGGCTCTTTGTGGTTTGCCATACCACCTATGTCTGCAACCTTCTACAATTTATATGTGTAATTCTGTATGCTTTAAAGCAGGGGAGAGCCTGTTACAAAACAAGTTTTTGCTTTCCATCCAATTCAGGCTCCTAAACAAGGTTCAAGATTCATCTTTTGCCGTTTAGATCCCCCCTACCCGTGCTTTAAAAGCAGCACAAATGAAGGTTAGAGATGAGGACACAGATTAGAGTTGAGAAGACCTGCTGTCCCCAGTCTCACCTCTATCATCTTCTGGCTGTGTGAACTTCAGCAACTCATTCAACCTCTTTGATGCCCAGTTTTCTTCTCTAAGAAGCAAGGATAATAATAATACCTGCTTTATCTACCTTGTCTACTCTAATTGCAGTAATGTTTATACGGCAATCTGTAAAATGTTAAATGTCAAACATGTAAGAATTACCACTCTTTAATCAACAGCCTAGGTATTGAATAGGAAATAAAAAAAGATTTATCTAAATGGAGGCCACACGATAGAACAGATGCATATCTAATTTTATTCATGCTAAGGGGCCTTTGGTTTTTCCCCTCAAATCCCTATCAAAAACAAGCCATGATAATAAAATAGGAAAATGGCACATTTCCAGTAACAGTTAATAGCTCATCAATTTCCGAATTAAATTTACTTAGCTCTGCCAAATAGGTTTCTGAAATTATCCAGTAAATCTCCCCAAAGCACAGAAGTTGTAAAGGCCAGTGGCCTCGTCAAAATGCTCATCATGTGTGGTTTTGGTCCTCATTTTCCTGGCTTCAAAAATGTTTCTCAACTGTCATTAGGTGAAGAAAAGCAAAGGATTGGCTGCTTATTTCAAAGTGACAAACCTGAAAAATGACAAGGCATAAAATACTATACTTTTGAAAGTATTTTAGGTTTACTTTTAAACCAAAATATTGCTGCCTGGAACCATGGATAAATACTCATGGTTTTAGAGGAGAGACTGGAGAAATTCCAGTTACACTTGTTTCTCTTTAGTAGCTGCAAGCAATAGACAATGATTGTTAAATTATTCACTTTGTCTTTTTCTGTCTTGAAATTTCCACATACGAACACTTGAGTTCCTTTATAATTCAAGACAGCACACCCTGGACAACAGAAGTGACCTTGGCCATAATGAAAGTGAATGCTATCTACTTTAATAAATAAGCAGTTACTCTGTAATAATTACCTCAGAGTACAGGCATTATATTATACTACAGTACCAGATTGCTTGCTCTTCATCACATCTTAAATGATCTGTTATGTTCTCAGTCTTTAAAGGTTAGTGTTTAATACATTTTAAATACTCAGGACCCATAAGTATACTTGGTGCTAGATCCTCTGAGAATCCCTTTATGTATCTTTAAATAGAGACAGAGACGCACACTAGACATCCAACTAGTCAGGGATTCTACTCTCTGCTCAAAGGTAATTTAGTTGCTCTGTTTTGAGCAAATTGAATGGTGGTGTTGGTATAGCAATCCTATTTGGAATTCTGTCTTCTAGATTCAGGTTGACAAATCACTGCTTCATTAGTTATCATCCTGTATTTTCCACCACTGATTTTAAAAATCAACTAATAAAGGTTTATATACATATTTAATTCAGTTACCATAATTTTTAAAGCAACCTAGGGAACTCAACAGGCAGGCTTTGTGCATGTCAGTCTGTGATGTTGTGTAACAGGTCCAGGCTTGCCTTACTCAGTGCATCAAGG